CATGCTAGGGCATTTGCAAAGAAAGGGAGGCAACAAAAATTAGAATATTTTGAAGAAAGGTACTTGACTTTTTGATATTTCAGAAAAATGTAAAAGTATTTGTCCAGGGAAAATATCAAGAAGTAGTTGAAGTGATGTACACTTCTTTATTATTTAATGTCATTTTTATTTTTAAGAACATGTAGGTGGAGAAATGCTTAGGACATATAGGTAGGAGGCACGGTTGAGTTTTATCATGGTACAAAGCATAGAATAAAATTGTTACCTCCCAAACTCTCATTAAAAATAAAAATAGTATGCCCTGGCTGGTTTGGCTCAGTTGGTTGAACGTCTTCCTATGCACCAAGAGGCCACGGTTTGATTCCTTCTTGGTTGGGGAACATGCCTGGGTTTTGGGTTTGGTCCCCAAAGAGGGGTGTTTGAGAGGCAGCCGATCAATGTTTCTCTCTCTCTCTATCTCTTCCTCTCTCTCTCTAAATTCGATAAAAACATATTCAAATTATTTTTTTCTTCTTTTTTCCTTTATTGATTTTAGAGAGAAAGGAAGGGAGAGGGAGAGAGAGATAGAAACATCGATGAGGGAGAACATCAATTGGCCGCCTCCTGCATGCCCCCTCACTGGGGATTTGGCCCACAACCTGGGCATATCCCCTGACCGAGAATTGAACCGGTGACCTTTTGGGGCATGGGTCAATGCTAAGCCACCGAGTCACACCAGCTAGGCCAATAAAAACATGTTTAAAAAAATAAATAATGAAAATGGTACTTAGTCATAAAACAAGTACACATCAGTCCAACAAAGTTCTGATTTTTTCCCTAGACAAATGCGTCTGTGCTTTTCTGAAATATCAGTAATCCCAAATTTTCTCCAAAATAATTTTTTGTGTGCACTTTTTTTTTGTCTGATACCCTAAACATACACTTAGTCTATTGGACCAATTCAATATGACCAAAGGGTATATCATAGCACCTGAAATATTCAAATAAAAATCCAAATAAAACTGAGCCACACTTAATGCAGATTTACTATGTTTGATATTTAAAAATTTTAGATGGCAAGATCATTTGTTACATTTTCTAATAAGGCAGCCTTGGGCTCATGAGATTTGGAATCCAACCCAGTTTGACCATTTACCGAACACAAACTTGATCAAGTCTAACCTCTCTGAGGCTGTTTTCATTTATTTAAAACACTAAACAGTGATAGAATTTGGGGGAATATAAGTTAAAAATAAAACAATGTAAAATGACTGAGAATTATAGAAGATTATATTAATATGAAGTATAATAATTAATACAAGGTGCATTATTTTTGTCATTAACACTTTCAGATGTGTATATTTTATATCCTCCAAAAAAATTCTGTGCTGCTAACATATGCAACTTTTGCTAGTCATATAAGAGCTCTACAAATAGTTGTTTTTCAATTAATTAATTCATCTCGTTTGAAAACACATTTTCATTTGGGAAGACGTGTTTTCAGCTGGAAGAGGTCAGTCGTAACTGACCCCTCAGAATAACACCCAAGTATAAATCTCATTTAGTTATTTCAGTAAAAACCCACTGTCGAGTAATTTATGTTGAAACTTCCAGGAAAATTTTTGGTTTTCTTTTAGACTCCAATCATGGGGGACAAAGCTCTGCTCTTTTGATGAACCTGTGAGAAATGAAGAAAACAGCTTTGACTCTCCAGTCACCCGATGGGGACTTGAAGCATGCACCTAACACCGAAATATGCTTCGAGGTCACTTGAAGAAATAAGGAACATCCTTACACAAAGAAAGAAATTAGGAATTGTGTTTTCTTCCAATTAAAACAAGTTTTACCAAAGTTTAGATGCCAGTCAAAATATTTACTATCTCAACGAGAATGGCATTTTCAAGATGGTGTTTGAGAAAAAAGATAATTAATAAAATTAATTTGCTGTAAACAGCACATCTAAATGATAACTTGGATGTACCTTTTATATATCTTGTGGGTTTTTTTCTGATATCATCTTGATATGGCTCTTGAATTATTTTGTATCTACACCCCATGAAACCCCATTTCATTTTTCAAAATGAGCCATACAGAAGGGAATAATTTTAATATGGCTCTTGGGCATCAGATTCCACAGAGCTGCTGGGCAAGGACTCTAGTGAAGTGGTCAGTGTTGAGTTCCCTGCATCCTGACAAGATGACCTACAAATTTCTCCATGCAGATGATCAATTGATTTCTTTAAAAATATCCAGATTCTGTAATTGATAAGTTCATTACAAAATGGAGTCTTACTGTTACAAGTCCAGAAGTGCATGATGTTGCTCAACTAAAACACACTCTTAAATGGACAGTTTACTCTAGAAAATGAGAAGTTTTTGAGAAAGAATCTAGTCCATCCCAAATAAATCCATGTCTATGTCATACTTAGGGAGGTTTTGATAAAAAAAAAAAAAAAAGAATAAACTGCCCTATTGGGTACCCAGTTAAATTCAAACTTGCCATCAGGAAGTTCTACATTTTGTATTTATAATCTTCATTCTTCCCAATGCAGTTGAACCTCATTGACCATATTTTAGGTTCCAAAAGATAGCAAAAAGCACCGCCCTATGTGCAAACCCTCAGCTCTTCTAAAGCAAATAATTGCATGTCTCAGTTTTCCCCAAATGTAATAATCCTACTTTCCTTATTCTTTCTTAGAGTTCAACTTGTAGTCCTTTAAGTATACTTCACTTTTCTGTGGCTCCTCTGAAAAGGCCATGTAATCATCTCAAGTTGTGGGACTAAACTCTAGACCTGTGTTCCCATCAGGGTCTGGCCACATACGAAGGTTAGCTCTGTATCCATGGCCTACAGTGCTTTGCCTCTGCTCAAATTATACCAACTTCACCTATAAAACCACATCCCAGGGAAAAGTCAACACAAAGGAAATAAAACAAAGTCCCAAGATATCTGTTTTCATGGCATGAAAGAGAGTCAACTATGTCTTAATTCTTTAAAGCTTACTGTAGATGTATCTGAAATTGTAATTTTTGGAGGTCAAAAGTTATTTAAAAATTCAGGATGCAGTGTGTTAACATTTTGATGTGATATACAAGCCCAGCATCTCTCCTTGCTTGACTTTATGTAGTTGTTATAATTAGGCACATGGTAGCATGACTTTACAGAGTTGTGAATGTATATAATATATGACATGCCATAAGCATATTCAATGCACTCTCCCAATTAAGTCGACAAAGAGACTTCCCATATATAAACCAAATAGGACATTTATTCTCAGAGGAATTAAACTATAAACCTGATTCAAATGTATTTAAATTTTTTAAATGAAGGGGCGAGATGGGTAAAATAAAGTAAAAGGCTAAAACAAAAAATGCTAATATTTTACACTGTAGAAAATGTTTGCACTGCCAATGATATTGTTAGAGATGAGATCGATGGATGAAACTAGTCCATATGATGAATGTAATACTACTAACACACTTTTACCTGCAAGGATTTTTCTGGCTTTAATTCAATGAAATCCATTACCCTGGGTGGTGATGGAGCCCTGTACCTACTCATCTCAGGCCTCTTTAGTCTCCTGAGCTGCCTTAAAGCCTTGACATAATAAAAGGTCAAGCAGATCTCAGTAAGCATTTGTAAACTACGATACCCGACCCCCCACCCCATTTCGACTCCAAGCCACGCGTTCTTGTGCTAAGCTTTGCTTTCTCTTATTTCATTTCATTGTATAAGGAAGCTAATTTGGAAATGCTAGGGTCTTTAGAAAATACCTAGATTAAAAAAAAAATCCCACTTTCCTACTTGACCACCTAAAGAAGTAAATCCATAATACAACATTTGAGAGAACTCTAAAATGGTGTCTGGATACTGAAGGAATGAACAGCAAATAGCAGCACTATTAAATAAAATGAATGCATTTCACCGTCCAGCTTGCCTGGGCTTTCTGGGACACAAGGCACAAATATGAAAGGGTTGGGGTAGAATTTCAAGAAAACTGATTTGTTTCCACAATCATTTGGCAAGATACTGTACAAAAAATAATACCACAGCCGCCTCCCTTTCCCATCATTGTCAAGTCGAGGCTCTCAAATCACCCTCCACAAACCTAATTAAAAATAAAGAAAAGAGGCAGGCTATGAATTCACATCTAGGGCTATGATACACATTAATTGATAGGTATCTATCCTAATTGGTCACCACAAAACTGAGAGGCAATACCAAGGATCAATCCCACATTAATTCAGGCGAAGTCAATGAGTAATATTACAAACCAGAAGCACAGTTTCAAAAATATCCAATTACCTTCATGCATGCAAGGGCATTTACAATCCATAAAAATGATCGCAAAGAACGCTCTGCACATAAACACGTTTCACAAATGCACTCTAAATGCTAAGTAACGTGTATATATGATCTGCATATCCATAGAGTATATACCTTTGTATATTCACAATCAAATCTGTGTGCTAAAAATAAAACTGGACCCAGCAAATGGTTTCTCAACTAGAGTACCTGAGAACGTGGAATAGAACGCTACATTCTGGGGCTGCCTTTCCTAAGCAATGAAGGATGTAAGCAAAACCACCTTATTTATAATTAGGCAGAGAAGCTTATGAGGCACCGAATGTGTTTCTGAGGAAGGCCCAGCCCTATATGTGGGAGCTGCAAATGAAATGATTCCTTTCAATAACACCCATTCCTTGTTAGCTCTTTTTCCACCCCCTGATTCTGTTGCTAAGCTTGGAAGGAAAGGAACCGAGTCGCTCACTCTGCATTCTAAGCCAGTTCAAGATAAAATCAGAACACCATTTTTTTTTTTTTTTTTTTAAACAGGAGCGCATGCCTTCTTACTTCTCTCTTCCTGGCAACCTTCCTCTCTCTCCATCCCCATCTCTGTCTCCACACCTTCCTCCCCTACTTTAAGGGACTCATTGTTCAAGTGCAGGCCACAGATGTATACACAGGTCATTTAGGAGCAATCTCCACCAAGAAGATAGCTCCACTGTCTCCTACTTACCATGCTGAGACCCGGAGACGCAGTTGAAAGGAGAGAGAGATGCAAACTGAATCCATTTTCCCTGTGACCGAGTCGGATGTAGCCTCCGAACTCAACATCAGCAGCGTCTGCTGGGATTTTTTCCCCCCTCCGTCCCTGGCTGGCGATGGTGCGAATAGGAACCACCCTTCCAGCCCCACTAGAGTATCAGCAGTCGAGGCGGCCGCGGTACCAGCATCACTTGGCCTCCTCCCTCTCGGAGGATGGGGTGAGCTCAGAAGCAGCCAGGAACTTGCAGCAGACACCTCCTCTGGCTCCTCCTCTCCTCCCCCCTCCCCCACAACCCCACCCCTGCTGCGGTAGAGGCTGCCTGCCCCGGCAGCTGCTGGTTGTCATGGTAATAACCAATGGTAAGCGACCAGACTAAGGGGGAGGGGAGACGGGTGAAAGGAGCTGGAGGAGCTGGAGGGGAGTGAATTTGTGCTGCTGCCTTCTGGGATGCTCCTGGTCTCTCCTACCTTGGACTCTGGGTCTTTAAAAGTGGGGCAAGGGTGTGTAGGCACGGGAAGAAAATAATTTAAATGGAATCGAAATCTAGACTCTTAACATGCAAAAAGCTCAGCTGTCTGTGCATTTTATATGGTTTTCCAATGAAATGTATTACCTTTGCGATCAGAAAAAATGACAACAAATATGGAGAAAATGATCTCGTGTAGTAATAGGAACTTATTATGACTCCAAATATGTTTGTCCTTGATAGCATCTTTCACTCAATGCCACTCAAGGTTGTTAGAAAGCAAAATGAGTGGCTGGACTTTGCAATAAAACAAGAATCTGACTCCTTGACACTCCTCTCCCTTGTTCTTTTCAAGTGAATCTCTTAGTCTTACTGTTTTTCCAGTCCCCCATTGGCACTACCCTGTGGAAAAGAAAGATGAACAGAGGAAACAAATTCCTGGAACAATCAGGGTTCTCAGTAGCACAAGTTGGTAGCTGTTTCCAAAACGATTTAGTGTCAAACTCCTGGAATGTTCTTTCCTGCAGTAAATTCCATGCCATTTTTATGAGTGCTCTTTTGGTGGTCCCAAGACAGATGGTGGTCAGGGTGGTAGGTACAAAAAAAAGAAGTGAAGTCAGCAACGTTGAGTTCTAGGTGAGTTCTGTTTCTGACCATAAATTATAGATGGCACTAGTATTTATATCGTGCATTAGTTGTACATATCAAATGAGATAATGCACTGAAAGCGCTTGGCATGTAGTATGTGTACAATAAATGATTACTATTATTATTGTTAGTTGTAGTACGTTGTACTCATGCCTTAATCCAAGAAATTAAAGGAATAGCATGACAATTGCAGATACGAGAAAAAAAGGTGAAAAAACAGTTAATTCATGTTATCTGTGATGATGATGATGATGACAACAAAGTCAGGGAGGCCTGAGAGATTAAAATTTCTCTGAAGTGAGACAATGGAGGACCTTCTAAGCCCTAAAGGAGTTGGATAAATTTCCCAAATTCACGCAGCTAATAAGTAGCAAAGCCAGAATGAAAACTCTGGCTCTTCTAACACTAACATTTGCTCTTGTTTAACCATTACAGTACATTTTTTCTGCCCCTCTGTCAGGGAATGGAGATACTCTTTGTTCTTAACCCATAGGGTTATTGATAGGTTCAAATGGGATTAGTACAATTTTCAGAGCCAGACAGATAAGATTTACTACAGATAAGATTTGGGGCATGTTATTAACTTCCCTGAACCTATGTGTCCTCACCTGTGAAATGGCACTAATCATAGAACTTCAAAGTCATCGTGAGAATTGAGTAGGATGAAGCCTATAGAGCATTATCAAGGCTAGTACATAGTAAGTGTTCAATAAATATTAGCTACAATTATTTGTTGCTCATTCTTATGTAATTAATATTAACATGTGAGATAACTTTTTCCTGCAGGGAGAAAGGCCTTGATGCCAGGGCCTTATTCTGACAAAACTGACTTAAAGGTATTTAGGTTGTTGGGAAAAGGGTTACAACTTACCCTCAGCTCCTGCCCTGATTTTCACCGTAAGCTTCTTCGCCACAGCCTTTTCGCAGCATCACTAATAGGTGGTAAGGCAATTTTGTCATAAGACTATACACTGATTGACAGGTGTGTGTGTGTGTTAGGGTGTTTGTTTCTCCTTTTAAAAGTCAACCTCCATAAAAAAGATAAAATAAATGGTTGACTGTTTTTTTGTTTGTCTGGTGGGGTTTTTTTAGTTTGGACGAATTTCTTGTAGTTACTCCCATTTTTTAATTCTCACCCGAGGATATTTTTCTATTTTATCTTCAGATGAGAGAGAGAGAGTGAGAGAGAGAGAGATCGACTGGTTGCCTCCCATACCACCCTAACTAGGGCCCGGGAGGAACCGCGACTGAGGTACGTCCCCTTGGCCCAAATCGAACCTGCAACTCTTTGGTCGGAGGCCGTTGCTCTAACCGCTGAGCCAAACCGGCCAGGGTGCCCATTTTTTTTATTGTATATAAATCATAGCACTTATAATGGCCTATACAGTCACCAGTAGACCTGGTGCCGGTGGTCTTAAAATAGCATTTCTTCCAGATGATGAAGAGTTGAAACATATTCTGTTGCGAGAAGAAAGAGGCGAGGAGCCTTGGAGGGCAGAGTTGAACCCACATTTCCCAGGAAACGAAGATAAGTGCTTAGGTACAAGCAACAAAGGAAGATCAGTTATTTGTGTAGTATTGCCACCAAGCTATCGACATTTTAAATGTATTCGAATATTTTGTATTTCTCAATAAAGTCTTTTTAATTTTGTTATTTGTTTTCGCACGTTTTGTGATGTCCTTTTAATTAATATCCCTCCTTTATTTGTTGTTCTTTTATCTTATTTTTTTTAACAGCAAAATCGCTTTACGGCCAATTAGTCAAGCATGGAAAACATGTGGGGTGAAAATGCTTGCGGCCAAGAAGCGTTGGGCAGAAGCACCTGAGCCAGGAGCATCGTGTGAGTGAAGTTCTGTAACCTGGGCACGGGTTGCGGTGATCTCGCTTCTTCTTGTATTTTTCATCTTCCGCTGTCCCCACAGATAGTCTTGTAAGTAAGCAGAGAAGAAAGCTGCAGTTATTTAGGTGACAGACCCCTCCACCGGCCAGATGAGCATTTCATCCAAGCGCCCAGAGTGGACTTGGTTGGGTGAGTGATTCTGTTTTTCTCTTCCCATCAACACAAATAGAATTAGTTGGGGGAGAGACACGTGTTTGTGTTCCTGTTTGAGCAACTTCTCCATTTAAACATTCAAACACTACTTTCTCCTTTTCTGTATCTGTGCAGCATGGTGATTATTATTTAATAGTATTTAATGATGGCTTTAGATATTACATTATGTAGAACTTATTTTTATTTAATTGCTTGTTACTTATTTACTTTAAAATGAAATTTGACTCAGGCTTTATCAGAACAGTAATAAAAATAGGCATGTTAAAGATAGTGTCCCCAGTGAAATTAAAGCAAAACCATACTTTTTTTATTTTTTGTAAAACAGATTTTAACTGTATTTGTAATAATTTTTATCACATATCTTAAATTGTATTCCTTCTCTTCATTGTCATGCCCTCTCTTACCATGCTTTATTTTTCCATAGTATTTATCATATAATATACTATATTAATTATTTGTACTTAAAATTTTTTTATCTGTCTCTCCCCACTAGAATGTGAGCTATGAAAGGGCAGGGATTTTTTTAAACATTTTTTTTTCAATTACAATTGACATATGTTATATTAGTTTCAGGTGTACCACACAGTGATTAGACATTTGTATAACATATGAAGTGATCAGCCTAATACGTCTAGTAAGCATTTGACACAATACAGAGTTATTACTGTATTATTGACTATATTTGCTATGATGTATAGGATTTTATATCACCATGGCTGTTTTTATAATTGACAATTTGTACATCTTAATCCTTCCTCTTTTTTACCCATCCCCACCCCCAATGCCCTACCATGATCCGGCCACCATCAATTTGTTCTCTGTATCTATGAGTATGTTTCTGTATTTTTGTTGTTGTTGTTGTTGTTGTTATTTATTTTGTTTTTTAGATTCCACATGTAAGTGAAATCAAATAGTATTTGTCTTTCTCTGTCTGACTTATTTCAGCTGGCGTAATGCCCTCTAGGTTCATCCAAGTTGTCATTAAAGGCAAGATCTCATTTATTGTGGCTGAGTAATATTCCATTGTATATATGTACCACAATTCTTTATCCACTCAGCTATTGATGGATACTTAGCTTACTTCCATATCTTGGCTGTTATAAATAATACTACAGTGAACATAGGGGTACACATGTCTTTTTGAATTAGTGCTTTGGATTTTTTCGAATAAATACCCAGAAATATTGCTGGGTTATATGGTATTTCTATTTTTAATATTTTGAGGACCCTCCATACTGTTTTTTTATAGTTGCTGCACCAATTTACAATCCCACCAACATGAGGGTTCCCTTTTCTCCACATCATTGCCAACACTTGTTTGTTGATTAATTGATGATAGCCATCCTGACAGGTGTGAGATGATATCTCATTATAGTTTTGACTTGCATTTATGATTAGTAATGTTGAGCATCTTTTCATATGTCTATTGGCCATCTGTATATCTTCAGAGAAATGTCTATTCAGGTCCTTTGAATGGGGAGGGAGAATTTTTGTTTATTTATTTGTTAACCATGCCAACTCATGCTAAGTGCTCAATAAATATTTCTAGAATGAATAAACCAGTAAGTAAATATATCAACAAGTTCTGCATTAAATCACGGCTATATGTTATTATAATATTATTTTTCTAGTTATATATTTTTGATATTTCTCAAAATTAAAAAGTAATAATTATTTGTATACATGCATATTAGCATAATGTCTATCTAATCCATATCATAAATATACATAGCTATTAAAACGGAAGTGTTTGTGCATGCTTATTCAAAGTCATATTGCCAGGAGTATATGAATTTTTTGGGAAATACTGATTTTGTACTAAGAGTGTCTTCTCCAGTAGAACTAACAGTGACCAGACTTGTCTACCTCTCCTGGGACCTTTCCAACTT